TGTATGCTATTTGTATGACGACACACAATTTTGAATTTCGCTGATCTTAGTTTTCGCAACCTTACCTGTACACCAGCTATACTTAAAGCTTTATGAATAGATATTTTTTAATCTAGTCAGCAAGCGAGCCATCCGGAAGGCTACTCCTCGTGAATATGATGCTTTAGGATCCTGGCCATGGGATCTTAATACGGCTAGAGGATTAAAGCCGGAAACTTTGGAACAGCTCAAGGCGGTCTTCCACTCGGTATCATTCATTATATCTCTTGTTTTTTTTATTTTGCCTATGCGTTGATGTTTATGGTTGGTGTTAAAGGTTGTGCAGGACATCTATTGCCCAAAACCACCTGATCGAGCTCGAGAAGAGCTCGCATGTCCTCCGGTGAGTATTCTGGTGTTCTAGTTAAAATTGTCATCTATAGAGAAGGCAGTGGGGCTTGCTAGAGCTCTTTGATAGCAACTTGAACTATTTTATTTTTATATTCTTCCTGTAAGTAGGCAGTTTGCAATGGTTGTTGTAACTTTAGATGCCACTCAACGGAGCACCAACAAACTCGACTGACACTCGCAAAAGGGAAGAATTCTGTCGCCAGTGTAGGCAGTATGGCCATTCAGAAAGGCACTGCCACGAAGGTAGAGATAATCGCAGAGATCGTGGACCAGCTAGGTCACCAGAACCGATTCGCGAACCAAGGACTATACGCCATGACGAACGTGGCCCCCCTGATGTGGTGCACGAGCGATACAGTGCCGTTGACAGGGATCCGTTACACTATTCGCCAATGGAGAAAGAACAGAGAATAGCTCAACAACGGGAGGAGCTGCTCCGCCAAGAAATGATGCTGCGACGATCGGAGCAGGGTGACAGCTGGACTAGGAATAATGTTCCGCCGCAACCACTGCAGTCTCAAGCACCATCGATGCTTCATCCTCGTCCTTTATTTGCCGGTGTGGGAGTACAGGGTCCTATTCAGCCTCTGATACCACCATCTGTAAATCCACATTCGTTGGAGCAGCCGTTTCGAGTGGCCAGTGATGAAGAGTTGCGAGCGAAATTAGAAGCGAAAGCGCAAAGGTTGGAAGAGGAACGACTGAGGCGACGGGAGGAGGAACTAGAGCGCAAAATGCAAATGGAGCTAGAATTGAAGAAACGAGAAATGGAGGAGCAAATCCGTAGACAAGTACAGCTCGAAGAAAGAGCTAGATTGCAAGCGGAGTTTGCACGAGCACAGCAACAAGCTCTTCCCCCAATCGCACAACCATTTTCCAATTTTCCTGTACCAAACAGATACGGTGCTCCGTATACAGCACCGCCGTTTTCTTCCCCATTTGCTCCCTCTTCGATAATGCCAGAAAAGTGGTGGAGCCAACGGTACTGCCTATAGCTCAGCACCGGATTTCGAAATGGAGGAGATAAAACTTCTCGTCAAGGATGTCGAAGACAAGCTGTTGGACTTGCAGCGCAATTGCCGTGAATCTGAACTAGCAGCTATCTTCCAATCTCGGGCATTCCGGATGATAGGAGAACTTGGTGACAGAGCACACATGATGGATCGAAGTCAGAAACAAAACCTGTTATGCGAGTTAAAGGAACTTCTGAATCAAGCGGAATTAAAGGTGAAGGAGAACCATGTTTCTGGAAGACGTAGAAGCCGTAGCAGAAGTATAGATCGAGAAGTAAGGCATAGAAGAAGTCCTGATCGTCGCGAGCGACGCCCTTCTCCCCGGAGATCGCGATCAAGGTCACCCGGAATTCGTAATACTTACAAGTATGGAATAAAGGAGGACGTACCTTTCAAAGAAATTCGAGTCCAAGTTGGTGGAGTCACTCTGCGTAACCTCTCGCCACGTGAACAACGTCATCTGAAAAGGGGAGATGTAGTTGTTGCCCAAGACCCTAAGACAGGAAAGTGGACGAGCTCTCGTTTGGCGAAAGTGTCGGGATTCAGGGCTACTCTTTCCATCGGTAATACCACATGGAAAAAGAATCTCGATGAGTTGTTCAAGGAAGTTCCTGAAGAATCTTTCTGAACTACTC